CGAGTCACGCGCAGGCACAGACGCTGGCGGTTGCGCCAGTGAAAGACATGGGCGCGCCGTGAAAGAACAAGACCAGCGAGCCGGCGAGAACGAAGACGCACACACACATACACACATAGCACAAACATGATGGACCCACGAACCCGGAAAGGGATATAGAACCGCATGCATGGAAACGTTTTCACGACACCGTATCGGGCGACGGGCATTTCCACGAGACACCCCGCGAAACATTCCACGAGACACGGGCGACCGTTTTCAACGTTTTCCTGGAAACATTCCACGAGACAACCCGCGAAACAGTCCACGAGACACCCCACGAAACATTCCACGATGACAGGCAACCACTCAACCAAGGCGGTGTGGTCGTGCTGGGGAGTGGTCATGCTGGGGTGTGGTCGTTCTGGGGGGTGGTCGTGCTTGGGGGTGGTCGTGCTGGGGGGGTAGTCGTGCTGGGGGGTGGTCGTTGATGGGGCGTGGTCGTTGCTGGGGCGTGGTCGTGCTGGGGCTTGGTCGTGCTGGGGTGTGGCACCTGGAGAAGGCAAATCTCTGAGGCGCCCATATCCCTCAAGTTCTACAAAACAAGCGATTCGCTCGAGACATCCTCGGTAACTCTGCGGAGCAAGCGTTTCGCTCGAGACATCCTCAACACACGAAAGAGTGGCCCGCACCCTGTGATTTATCGATCGGGATTTCAAAAACAAGCGTTCGCCTGAGACATCCTCAAATTTTAATCCGCCGGCCCACCTCGACCTCGATATTCATCAGGGAAAGAATCCGCCGGCCCACCTCTGTTGAGGCACCGGGGACAGGTTTACCTACTAAAAGAGAGCCCTGGGCCTGCGCCCTTTCCGGGAAAACGATGAGAGGAAGAGGAGGACACTTTCTGTCAAGAAGAGTGGATGAGGGCAAATCCGATCAAGCCAGGTCCTCAGACCCCTCAGGGCGTCCGCCTGCTGCATAGTCTGCACCCCGGATATCCGGCGCGGACGGTCCCAGGGCCGAACGAGGCCCCCAGAGGCCGAAAGAGGCGAACCACCTGCTCGAGCCCAGCACCTCGAACCTCGCCCCCCCCCGCTGGCCCGAACCAGTGATGGGCCACCTCGGGCCCTCCAGGCAGAAGGGCACCCCTCCAGCACAAGGGCCGTTCACGCGCGGCGAGCCCAGTTATCCGTATCCGCGCCCTCGAAGTCTGGACTCTGGGGCGCGATCCCGCGGACACGCGGTCGCACCGATACGTTCCGCGCGGGGCATATCCGCGGAACATGATCGACCCACGAACCCGGAAAGGAATATAGAAATGTAAGACATGGCAACGTTTCAAAGACACCTGATTGGGCGACGGGCAAATGCAATGCTTAGTGTATCGACCTTGATGTACCGTGCCGAGGGCTGTGCTGTGCTGTGCCGTGCTGAATTGCGATGTGCCATGCCACGAGTGTGCTCTATAGCGTTGTGGATCGAGTCCTCCTTTGCATCCGAGTCCTGACCGAACTGATCTGGATCTTAAGCTCGAGCTGCCTAAGCACATAACTAGTAGCTGCCCCAGAGTTGATTGACAAGGGAACATGCCAGGAGGACGCGCCGCAGAACGTCCCAAGGGACGCGCCAGGCGACGTGCCAGGGGACGTGCCATGGGGTCGCACCGCGGGACGTGCCAAGGGGACGCGCTACGGAATGTGCCAATGGACGTGCCACGGGACGTGCCAAGAGACGCACCAAGCGAGGTGTCAGGGGACGTGCCACGGGGACGCACCGCGGGACGTGCCAAGGGGACGCGCTACGGAACGTGCCAATGGACGTGCCACGGGACGTGCCAGGGGACGCGCCGCGCGACGTGCCAGGGGGACTCGCCACAGGACGCGCCACGGAACGTGCCAAAGAACGTGCCAAGTTGCAATGCTGAGTGAGTGTATCGATCTTGATGTACCGTGCCGCGGGCTGTGCTGTGCTGCGCCGTGCTGAACTGCGATGTGCCACGTGACGATTGTGCTCTATAGCGTTGTGGATCGAGTCCTCCTTTGCATCCGAGTCCTAACCGAACTGATCTGGATCTTAAGCTCGAGCTGCCTGAGCACATAGTAGCTGCCCCAGAGCTAATTCACGGGGGGCATGCTAGGAAGACGCGCCGCCGAAAGTTCCAAGGGACGCGCCAGGCGACGTGCCAGGGGACGTGCCATGGGGACGCACCGCGGGACGTGCCAAGGGGACGCGCTACGGAACGTGCCAATGCATTATGGACGTGCCACGGGACGTGCCAGGGGACGCGCCGCGCGACGTGCCAGGGGGACTCGCCACAGGACGCGCCACGGAACGTGCCAAAGAACGTGCCAAGTTGCAATGCTGAGTGAGTGTACCGATCTTGATGTAATGTGCCGAGGGCTGTGCTGTGCTGCGCCGTGCTGAACTGCGATGTGCCATGCCGCGATTGTGCTCTACAGCGTTGTGGATCAAGTCCTCCGTTGCATCCGAGTCCTGACCGAACTGATCTGGATCTTAAGCTCGAGCTGCCTGAGCACATAGTCCACGAAGTAGCCGCCGCAGAGCTAATTGACAAGGACTTATGCCAGGAAGACGCGCCGCGGAACGTTCCAAGGGACGCGCCAGGCGACGTGCCAGGGGACGTGCCACGGGGACGCACCGCGAGACGTGCCAAAGGGACGCGCTACAGAACGTGCTGGGGACAAGCGTCGTGTTGGTGGCCTGGACACGTAAAAACACGGTGCCAGCTCGGGACAACCATGAGAGATACCCCCTGGGTGGCCTGGACACGTAAAACACGTGGTTCCAGCTCGGGACAATCATGTTAGAGATCTCCCTGGGTGGCCTGAGCATGACATGATCGACCCACGAACCCGGAAAGGAATATAGAAATGTAAGGCATGGCAACGTTTGAAAGACACCTGATTGGGCGACGGGCAAATGCAATGCTTAATGTATCGATTTTGATGTACCGTGCCGAGAGCTGTGCTGTGCTGCGCTGTGCTGAACTGCGATGTGCCATGCCGCGATTGTGCTCTATAGCGTTGTGGATCGAGTCCTCCTTTGCATCCGAGTCCTGACCGAACTGATCTGGATCTTAAGCTCGAGCTGCCTCAGCACATAGTAGCTGCCTCGGAGCTAACTGACAGGGGAACATGCCAGGAGGACGCGCCGCGGAACATCCCAAGGGACGCGCCAGGCGACGTGCCAAGGGACGTGCCACGAAGACGCACCGCGGGACGTGCCCAGGGGACGCGCTACGGAACGTGCCAATGGACGTGCCAATGGACGTGCCAGGAGACGCGCCGCGCGACGTGCCAGGGGGACTCGCCACGGGACGCGCCACGGAACGTGCCGAAGTTGCAATGCTGAGTGTATCGATCTTGATGTACCGTGCCGTGGGCTGTGCTGTGCTGCGCTGTGCTGAACTGCGACGTGCCATGCCGCGATTGTGCTCTATAGCGTTGTGGATCGAGTCCTCCTTTGCACACGAGTCCTGACCGAACCGACCTAGATCTTAAGCTCGAGCGGCCTCAGCACATAGTAGCTGCCCCAGAGCTAATGGACAGGGGGACATGCCAGGAGGACGCGCCGCGGAACGTCCCAAGGGACGCGCCAGGCGACGTGCCAAGGGACGTGCCATGGGCACGCACCGCGGGACGTGCCAAGGGGACGCGCTACGGAACGAGCCAATGGACGTGCACCGCGCGACGTGCCAGGGGGACTCGCCACGGGACGCTCCGCGGAACGTGCCAGGCAACATGCCAGGCTGCAATGCTAAGGGTATCGATATTGATGTACCGTGCCGAGGGCTGTGCTGTGCCTGGGCGACCTGGACACGTGAAAACACGCGTTTCGCTCAAGACGTTCTCAGCACATCCTCATGCTAGACATCCGCCTGGACAACCTGGACACGCGCAAACAAGCGTCTCGATCGAGACTTCCTCGACACCGCCTCATGCTAGACATCCGCCTGGGCAACTTGGACACGTGAAAACAAGCCTCTGGTTCGAGACATCCTCAACAAATCCTCATGCTAGACACCCGTCTGGGCAACCTGGAGGCGTGAAACTAAGCGTCTCGCTCGAAACATCCTCAAAACCTGGGCACGTGAAAACAAGCATTTCACCTGAGAGATCCTCTGAATTGAGGTCCCCAGGAGAGCACAATATATAATACAAAACAAGCGTTTCGCTCGAGACATCCTCAACAAATTCTGAAAATCAAGCGTTTCGTTCGAGACATCCTCAAATTTTAATTCGCCGGCCCTCTTCCCACTCGTTATTTATCGCAAAAGAAATTCGCCGGCCCTCTTCCCGTCAAACCCGGGGGGAAACCATCTAAAAGAGAACCCTGGGCTCAAGCCCTTTCCGGGAAAAAAACACGTGGTTCCAGCTCGGGACAGCCATGTTAGATACCCCTCTGCGTGACTTGGATACGCTGAATTCGCGCTCCCGCTCGAGACATCCTCACAACGTCTTCCCTGGAGAGACCCCCAAAGCGCACCCCCCTGTTCAGAGCAAGAAGCCATCACTTTTCCTCATAATTCGGCGTTGGGCCCGACGCCATGTTAGATACCCCAACTCTGCAAAACCAGCGTTTCGCTCGAGACATCCTCAACAAATTCTGAAAAGCAAGCGTTTCGCTCGAGACATCCCCCAACTCTGCAAAACCAGCGTTTCGCTCGAGACATCCTCAACAAATTATGAAAAACAAGCGTTTCGCTCGAGACATCCTGTCAAAATCCCAAGAAATCTAAATTCCTGCGCGCGGGACGCGGCACGCGCGAGACATCCTCAGAATTCCTGCGCGAGGGGCGCTTTTCCGTGTCGCGGTCGGCTCTGCAAAACCAGCGTTTCGCTCGAGACATCCTCAACAAATTCTGAAACCAAGCGTTTCGCTCGAGACATCCCCAACTCTGCAAAACCAGCATTTCGCTCGAGACATCCTCAACACATTCTGAAAAACAAGCGTTTCGCTCGAGACATCCTCAAAAATAATTTCGCCGGCCCAAGTCGCAGGGGGGCCGGGGGGTTAACCTACTAAAAGAGAACCCTGGGCCCGCGCCCTTTCCGGGAAAAACGCCCCCCACCCCTGGGGGCCGGCGCTGATCCCGCCGCGCCCCTTTATGGGCCCTGGCAACCACAAGACCGCTTTTCCTGCTGGTTCCGTTTTGCTATGGTTTGCCGGTTCCGACGCCGTTTGTTTGCCGGTTCCTTCGCCGTTTGTTTGCTGGTTCCGGCTCCGGTTCCAATTCTAGAGCAGCTTGTTTGCCGTTTCCAGTTGCCGTTCTCTTACCGCTCCCATGTTCAAAACCTTTTTTTTCGGAAGCGATGGGGAAAACGGCTCTACCGCTTCCGGGGCCCACTGAGCCCATCCCCCCCCCCCGCGGGCACGCACGACACGACCAGCGTCTTGCCGTCCGCCAGCAGCAGCGACAGCAGCGGGGCGATGACCTCCCGGCCGAGCGCGACGGCGCGTGCTCAGCTCGAGAGCGGTGGGAGGCGAGGAGGGGGAGGAGGAGGACGAAGGAGAGGGGGAGGAGGAGGTGGAGTCGATCCAAGTTTTGGGCGTCTTTGGGTTCCTCGCAACAGAGAAGACACCTTGCTGTACGAAATCTGGTCGCACATCCCTCGTCGGCGCTTGAGCTTCGTAAGCTGCACTGGCCTGAACCGGGAGGCACGGCTGCCGCGCTGGCGCGAGCGCCCGCCAGACCCAGAGAGACATTAAGACGAAGCCAGGGCAGGGACAAAATATGGCAGGGATAAGTCGGGGATCTCTGAGATCCGGCGGTTCTGGAGGATGTGGAGGATGTATCGGGCGTCGCGGCCTTCTCAGAGCGCTCCGGAACGCTCTGACAGGGTTCCAGAACGCCTTGGAACAATTTACGCATCCCTGTCCCAGCCCCGCCCGGTACACGGCCGACCTAAGAAGCCTTGAACCAAACATGATGGACCCACGAACCCGGAAAGGGATAAAGACATGTGCAGCATGGTCACGTTTTCACGATACCCAACTGGGCGACATCTCACGAAACATCCCACAAGACACCCCGCGAAACATCCCACGAGACACCTCACGAAACATTCCACGAGACACCTCACGAAACATTCCACGAGACACCCTTTGAAACATTCCACGAGACACCCCACGAACAGGCAACCACTCAACCAACACGGTGGGTCGGCTGGGTGTGGTCGTGCTGGGTGTGGTCGTGCTGGGGTGTGGTCGTGCTGGGGAGTGGTCGTGCTGGGGTGTGGTCGTGCTGGGGTGTGGTCGTGCTGGGGGGTGGTCGTGCTGGGGGGGTGGTCGTGCGGGGGGGTGGTCGTGCTGGGGCGTGGTCGTGCTGGGGCGTGGTCGGGCAAACCCCGCGAAACATCCCACGAGACACCTCACGAAACAATCCCCGAGACACCATCACGAAACATTCCCACGAGACCACAAACCCTTTGAAACCAGTCCACGAGCACACTCCACCGAACAGGCAACCACTCAACAACACCCAACGAAAACATATCCACGGGGGTGCGACTGGTGTGGTCGTGCTGGGGTGTGGTCGTGCTGGGGGGTGGTCGTGCTGGGGGGGTGGTCGTGCTGGGGGGTCGTGCTGGGGCGTGGTCGTGCTGGGGCGTGGTCGTGCTGGGCGTGGTCGTGCTGGGGCGTGGTCGTGCTGGGGCGTGGTCGTGCTGGGGTGTGGTCGTGCTGTGGTAAGGTCGTGCTGGGGTGCGGTCGTGCTGGGGTGGGTTCGTGCTGGGGTGCTCCGCACCCTGTGATTTATCGATCGGGTCGTGCTGGGGTGTGGTCGTGCTGGGGTGTGGTCGTGCTGGGGTGTGTCGTGCTGGGGTGTGGTCGTGCTGGGGTGTGGTCGTGCTGGGGAGTGGTCGTGCTGGGGTGTGGTCGTGCTGGGGTGTGGGTATGCTGGGGGGGTGGGTATGCTGGGGCGTGGTCTGCTGGGTGGGGGTCGTGCTGGGGTGGGGTCTCTGGGGTGGGTTCGTGCGGGGCTCCGCCCCCTGTGGATTTATCGATCGGGTCGTGCTGGGGTGTGGTCGTTCTGGGGTGGTGGTCGTGCTGGGTGTGGTCGTGCTGGGTGTGGTCGTGCTGGGGTGTGGTCGTGCGGGGAGTGGTCGTGCTGGGTGGTCGTGGCCTGGGTGGTCGTGCTGGGGGTGGTCGGCTGGGGGGTGGTTCGTGCTGGGGGGTGGTCGGCTGAGGGCGTGACGTGGCGGGCGCGTGGGTCGGCCTGAGGCGTGGTCGTGCTAGGGCGTCGACCTGGGCGTGGTCGTGCTGGGCGTGGGCGTGCCTGGGGCGTGGTCGTGCTGGGTGTGGTCCGTGCTGTGGTGAGGTCGTGCTGGGGTGTGGTCGTGCTGGGGTGTGGTCTTGCTGGGGTCGGTCGTGCTGGGTGCGGGTCGTGCGGGTTGTGGTCGTGCTGGGGTATGGTCGTGCTGGGGTGGGTCGTGCGGGGGGGGTCCGTGCGGGGTCTGTCCGGCTGGGTGTGGTCCGTGCTGGGGTATGGTCGTCTAGTTGGGTCGTGCATTTCGCTCGAACATCCTGCCAAAATTCCAGGAAATCGTAACAAAACAAAGGAATTAGGCGAGACATCATCGAAATTCTTCGCGCGGGCGCTTTTTCCGCGTCGCGTCGCTCTGCAAAACTAGCGTTTTCCGCTCGAGACAATCCTCGCAAACACGTGAAACCAAGCGTTTCCGCTCGAGACAACCCTCAAAACACAAAAAAAAGAAAAAAGACGACGAAAAAAGTGGCCCGCACCCTGTGATTTTATCGATCGGGATTTCAAAAACAAGCGTTTCGCTCGAGACATCCTCAAATTTTAATTCGCCGGCCTCCTTCGACTTCGTTATTTATCAGGGAAAAAATTCGCCGGCCTCCCTCAAGTTGGCACCGGGGGACAGGTTTACCTACTAAAAGAGAACCCTGGGCCGATGCCCTTTCCGGGAAAAACCTTGCCATCTCTTCGGGGCGCATATTTTGCTTCCGCCGGCTTCCGCCGGCCTTGCATCGCTTTCCGCCATCGTTCTGCTTCCGCCACCCTGCTCGGCTGCCCTCCGCCGAGGGGGAGATGACAACTCTTTCGGTCCTCGAATGCGAAGATCTTTCTGGCACGTCCGATGGCAACTCATGGGAGCCTCCCATACCATCTTGCCAGCTCCTGCGATTCGACGCTACTCGACGCTACATCGACGCTACTCAACGCTAAAATCGACGCGAATCGACGCCGATCGACGCTACCTTATCGACCCCAGACGCCAATCGACGCTAAAGACGGAATCAAGAGGGTATACCAGGCCCCCCTGATTTGCCTTAGGTCGGGCATGTCCTTCTACAGGCGGATTTAAAAGGAAAAATGACAAGTACATAGTCAAAGAATAATCAGAAATGGTGAACAATAGTGGAAACATCGTCCCCAGACGGTTTTTGGGAATATTCCTCCTGCGGAGGGACATGCCCGACTCAAGATTTGCCACCGAAGCCATCCCTCGAGCAAAAAACAACCAATCTTCGACTCGCCGACGTTTGAGCGGGGACCGACCGTCCCGGCATTCCTATAGGCCTACCACGACATGCTCTTAACAGCGTTCTCAAAACATATAAGCTCGATGTGCCAAAAAGTCAAAAACACGAGAGAGACGTTGCCACGGCGACGAGGCGCAGAGCCCGGCACTGGCGCGCCTGGCCGCCCGGGTGCCACACACCGAGCCGGACCGCCGGCGCGGTGCCGACACCCACGCCGCCGAGCCCTCCCGCGTCGACGAGCGGCGTCGGTGGCGAATCGGCGGCATCTGGCCGGAGATAATCCATCGGGGGCGGCCAAGAGGGGGGCGTCCGAGACGGGGAGGCGCAGCTCATGGCTGGCGGCACGTGCGCGGCCCAGAGGGGGCGGGGCTGGGGACGGAACGATGCAAGAAGAGGCGCCATGAAATCAGGGGAAACATTATGGCCCACGCCATGATATCCACCACCCCTAGTCATCACCCCCCTCTGTGCCGCCCCGAATCAAGACCGGGCAATTAAGGGGGGGGGATGATTCATTATCCTGGGCATGGGGTTAGTTATCGCCGACCATCTCTGACCCCAGGTACGGTGGGGGCAGTGGATAAGGAACCCTTAGATAAGGGATCTAGGGTCTGGTGGCCAGTGGAACTCCAATCGAAGCTTGGCCATGGATATCACCGCCGCCCTCATCAGATAAGGAATCCGCCAGGGTCTGCAGCATCCTGGGCACATTCCTTAACCAACGCCCCCACTGTATGTAACAAGGCTTGGCCAATGCTGGATATCCGGAACCACCCACAACACATGGGAGATTTCGGAAACCGTGAACCCAAAACAGTTTTCATCTCTTGGGGGCGCGTTGTTTGCTTCTGCCGCCTTCCGCCGAGCTTCCGCTGGCTTCCACCAGCAGAGGCGGCCTCGTTTTACTTCCGCCGACCTTCCGCCTCCCTTCGGCGCCCTGACGAATCGGCGGCATCTGAAGAACAGCCCGAAGATGCTGAAAGCATACCTGATGTAACACGCAAGAGCGCGTTTCTTCACTCGCGGCGAGAACGGGCGTTGTGTGGGGGGGGGCGGGGGGGGCATAACGTAACGCCCCCCCCTCCCCGCCGTGCGCGCGGCGGCAGTGCCGGGGGCGCACTGGGGGCCGGAGCGTTACGTTATGGGGGGGGCGGGGGGGCCATGACGCGCGTTGTTGCCCAAGCGATGAAGAAGCAGGCTCCAAGTTACCGACCCATCAGACGGCGTCAACAACAAGCAGGGCGCCGTCTATGGTAACGACAATCGCTGGATCGGTCTGGTGGGGGTACTGTACTGGGGCCCAAGACGAGCCGGGAAATGCCGTCGTGGCCTCCCGCCACACCCGAATGCCATGGCTTGTGTCTACGGCTCGTGCCCGCATCACTGGGCGGAGAAGCGCAGGGGAAGTCATGAATACTGCTCTGGCGGCGTCAGCAGAAAAAGGTCACTAGGGCAGGGCGACCGTGGTCTTCCCATCGCCCATGATCATCTGGGACGGGCAAGGGGGACAAGGAAGACGAATGTGAATGGGGAGGTAAGACGAGTGAGTATGGGAAGGCAAACAAGACGGGAGAGGAAGACAATAGGAGAGACGAATGAGACTGAGGACGATGAGGATGACAAAAGAGGAGGAGGAGGAGGAGGAGGAGGAGGAGGAGGAGGAGGAGCAGGAGGGCAACGAGAGAATGATGAGGATGATGAGGAAGAAGACATGTCACCGCTGACTGCTGCAACAGCGTGAGGCATCAAGAGAAACCACAACATAGTCGAAATATGCATCTGCATTTCTCATCGTCCTCCCCCTTGCCGCCTCTTGTCCGCATCCCCATCCCTCTCGCCCGTTGCTCTCCCACCCCACGATGCCCCTCCCCATCATCCTTCTTCCTCCCCCCCCTCCTCCTCCTCCTTCTGCTCAGCGCAATCAAACAAGGCCCCGAGATAGCACCACGACTCTGTCTGGCGGCCCCCGAACGGCAAAGACAGCACCAACAGCTCCCGGGGAAAGCTCCCGAGAAAGCACCAGGAAACTCCAAAATTACGGCTGACACGCATCTGGAAAGCCAAGCTTCCTTGAAACACACGGATTCCATGGGTTTATGGTAGGCTTGTCCACCCTGCATGACTTTGGGAGTGGGCCCGAAGACAGCCCGATTACCCCGTGACGGCGCGCTGTCGCTCCCGAGAAGGCTCCAAGAGGGCCCCGAGATCCGCCCAGACGGCCCAAACATTGCTTCTCCAGAACGCTCCGCAGAACCAACCCGCCCAAGACGGCCCCAGGGAACCAGACAGGCCCCAACGTGCCAAGAGCCCCCCCGCACACACACACACACACACACACACACACACACACACACGCACACACACACGCACACACACACAAACAAACACACACACAAACAAACACACACACACAAACACACACACACACACACACTCTCTCACACACACACGCACACACACGTACACACGTACACACACACACACACACACACACACACACACACACACACACGCGCGCCGTACGAGACCCCAGGAGGCGCCAACTGAGGCTCCACGGAGCGTCCATCCCAAACACCTCCAAGAAGCACCGCAACAGCCAGGCAACGTGAACCATGCCGCGACCCGCCGCAGGTGCCACATAATCCAGATGCCACGGAGCACAATGCTCGCCAACATGACGCATGCGCTGTGTACAGCCAACTGCGCTGCGCTGTGATGTCGCAGTCTTCGGGCAGAGAATCTCTGATCCCAGGCATGTAACAGAAAAAGTTGTATCACACTTTGCCAAATCTGGACATCCAGAATCAACCACAACACATATCTTGGGACACCTCCTCTTGATTCCGCCTGCTCTGGCCGTCAGCTGGCGTCCGCCAGCGGGCCCGCCGCTGTTTTGCTTCCACCGGCTTCCGCCGGCTTCCGATGGGGAAGAGATGTCAACGCCCTCCATCTCTCGAGGGGACGAAGCCTGCTCCTGGAACACCGCACGCACAGAGAGGCCAAACACATGCCACGCCCGGGAAAGGGGGGCCGCGTTCGCCCCCGAGGGTGCTGGCGGGACGCGGCGAGATCTCTTGGCTGCAGCAGCGCGCCGTCCTGGTGGCAGACCGAGCGCCCCTCCCACATGCGGCTGAGGAACGTGCCCATGATGCGCACCTGCGTGTTTTTTGTCTGTTTTTGTTTTTGTTGTTGTTGTTTGTTGTTTGTTGTTTGTTGTTTGTTTTTTTTGTTTTTGTTGTTGTTTTGTTTGTTTTTTGTGTTTTTTGTGTTTTGTGTGTGCTCTGTTTTTTTTTCTTCTGCCGCAGCGGCCGCAGCGTCCACAGCGGCCACAGCGCCCGGGGGCAGGCCCGCCGAGAGGCCGCGGCGGACCCCTCCCCCCCGGCGGCCGAGTCGTCCTCCCTGCAGGCGGCCTCCGGCGGGCTTCCCGTCGCCGCGGCCGGAGGCGCCTCGAAAAGCACGGGTCGGCAGGGCGCCCCGGGAGGGCCTCGGGGACCGGGCTTGAACCAGGCCTCAGGAAACATGATGGACCCACGAACCCGGAAAGGGATATAGACATGTGGAGCATGGACACGTTTTCATGATACCCAACTGGGCAACACCTCACGAAACATCCCACGAGACACCTCACGAAACAGCCCACGAGACACCTCACGAAACATTCCACGAGACACCTCACGAAACATTTCACGAGACACCCCGCGAAACATTCCACGAGACACCCCACGAAACATTCCACGACGACAGGCACCCACTCAACCAAGGCGGTGTGGTCGTGCTGGGGAGTGGTCGTGCTGGGGTGTGGTCGTGCTGGGGGGTGGTCGTGCTGGGGGGTGGTCGTGCTGGGGGGGTGGTCGTGCTGGGGCGTGGTCGTGCTGGGGCGTGGTCGTGCTGGGGCGTGGTCGTGCTGGGGCGCGGTCGTGCTGGGGTGGGGTCGTGCTGGGGTGTGGTCGTGCTGGGGTGTGGTCGTGCTGGGGTGTGGTCGTGCTGTGGTGGGGTCGTGCTGTGGTGGGGTCGTGCTGGGGTGTGGTCGTGCTGGGGTGTGGTCGTGCTAGGGTGGGGTCGTGCTGGGGTGGGGTCGTGCTGGGGAGTGGTCGTGCTGGGGTGTGGTCGTGCTGGGGTGTGGTCATGCTGGGGCGTGGTCGTGCTGGGGTGGGGTCGTGCTGGGGTGGGGTCGTGCTGGGGTGGGTTCGTGCTGGGGTGCTCCGCACCCGGTGAGTGAGTTGGGTTCGGATCGGGTCTGCGGGGGTGTGGCGGCTGGGGATAGGTCGTGTGGCGGTGTGTCCCGTGCTGGGGTGCTCCCGTGCTGGGGTTGTGGGTCGGGTGCTGGGGTGTGGTCGTGCTGGGGGGTGGTCGTGCTGGGGGGTGGTCGTGCTGGGGGGTTGGTCGTGCTGGGGGGTGGTCGTGCTGGGGCGTGGTCGTGCTGGGGCGTGGTCGTGCTGGGGCGTGGTCGTGCTGGGGTGTGGTCGTGCTGTGGTGAGGTCTTGCTGGGGTGTGGTCGTGCTGGGGTGTGGTCTTGCTGGGGTAGGGTCGTGCTGGGGTCGGGTCGTGCTGGGGTGTGGTCGTGCTGGGGTATGGTCGTGCTGGGTGGGGTCGTGCTGGGGTGGGGTCGTGCTGGGGTCTGGTCGTGCTGGGGTGTGGTCGTGCTGGGGTATGGTCGTGCTAGGGTGGGGTCGTGCATTTCGCTCGAGACATCCTGCCAAAATTCCAGGAAATCGTACAAAAACAAACGAATTAGTCGAGACATCATCGAAATTCCTTCGCGCGGGGCGCTTTTCCGCGTCGCGGTCGGCTCTGCAAAACAAGCGTGTCGCTCGAGACATCCTCAACAAATTCTGAAACCAAGCGTTTCGCTCGAGACATCCCCAACACACGAAAAGTGGCCGTAAGCGGGGCGCGCGGCGCCCCCCCCCGCGCGGGCCCACCCTGTGATTCAATCGATCGGGAATTCAGAAAAACAAGCGTTTCGCTCGAGACATCCTCAAATTTTAATTCGCCGGCCTCCTTCGACCTCGTTATTTATCAGGGAAAAAATTCGCCGGCCTCCCTCAAGTTGGCACCGGGGGACAGGTTTACCTACTAAAAGAGAACCCTGGGCCTATGCCCTTTCCGGGAAAAAAAGTAGCGAACACGAATGCCACAGTCATCGGTCAACGCCTCTCTCCCCCCCTCCCCCCAGTTGTTCCAAGCCGGCGGTGGGTCTGATGAGTTGCACTTCGGCCGCAGTCTCCCCCGCGCGTGCCAACTTTGAGCCTGGGGGAGCGGGGGAGTGTCCACCAGTTGTTTCCCACTGCCGACGGACTTGGGACGGACTTGGGCTTGGCGGGACAGCCGCTTCTCCGACACCCGCTTCCCGCGCAGCTGCCCCACACGCCGCCCCCATGTTGATATCCTCGAGATGGGCGAAGGACTCGCGCGTCAGAAGTGGTGAACTCTGTGAGCTCTCGCGCTCCTCCCAATCGAGGGAAAAACACCGACGCCGGGAGAGCGTGGCCCTTCATGTGTTGGCTGGCATGGGAAGTCGCCACAGGTGTCACTGGTCGAAGGCGTCCCCAGCTTTTGACCGTCGGAGTCCCTGTGGCCAGGCGGGCCTCGCGTGAAGAGAGCTCCAGAGGCTGTGTGGGCAACCCCAGAAATCTGTGGCAACTCCCATCGGTTGGAAGAGGTGGGTCCAACCATGACGTGGGAAGGCACTGAAAGAAGATTAGGCTTCCGCTCGCCCCCATACAGAGGCAGGAAAGGGAAAACCACTTGATGCTTGAATTGGGAAGGTGCCTGAAAGTTATGGGGTTTTTCTTGGGCCGCCTCATGCATCCTGCGGGGGGCATCCGTTGGGCAGTGCCAGTCTACAGGTCGCCAGGCAAAGGGGAAACACCACACGCGCCGACCTGCAACAGGCAAACTCGTGCAGTGAACCGTGGCCTGAGAAAAGGAAATGGCGTGCAGTAAAACACTGCACGGGTGGAGAAGAGAAGGAGGAGGAGGAGGAGGACGAGGAGGAGGAGGAGGAAGAGGAGGAGGACGGGGAGGAGAGAACCAATGAAAACATCGTTCTGGTTCTCTCCTCCTCCTCCTCCTCCGGAGAAGGCTTCACCGAACGCGCTCGGAACAAACCAGTCTAAGGCATGGGGCATGGAGCTCAGAGCCCCCTGAACCGCAAGCGGGGGGCTTCCAGGGTGTGGGCACAATCCCCTATGACAATTACAGCCTGGGAATTCAAAACTATTCAACGCGGAGGGCCCTATATCGTATCTCCTGGCACGTCTCGCCCTGAGCGTCTGGCCTTCAATTTCTGGGCGTGGGAGCGAGTCCGAGTGGACGACGATTACAGCGACGACGACGACGACGACGACGACGACGACGACGACGACGACGACGACGACGACGACGACGACGACGACGACGACGACGACGACGACGACTACGGCGGCGGCTACGGTGAGGGACAAAGATGACGGCGGCGACGACGGCGATGACGACGGCGACAAAAAT